CAACCCTGCTTATAAGTTATAGCACTTTTAACAAAAGACCGGCTTTAATTGATATTGCACCTTCGTCTGCACACAAAATAAATCAAACTGATCAAATATTATATTATATGTCCAGAAGTGGTATAATGTTATTTGATACCAGCAGTATGTTAGTATAATAATTTGTAATTACTTACATAAATGTAAATATTAAATTTTAATCGTAATTGTAATGTCATGTATCGTACTTGTAATAGCACCTAATGTGCTGAAACATTTTAAAAATAATAAACGAAAAAAAAAATAATATTCAAAAAATGTTCTGCCGCCGTAGAAAAATATCACTATAATATTATGTATTATTATTTACTACTATTATTCGTACGCAATAAGGTTCACTCGGAAAGTATATAATTATATTTGTATATACTTATCGTATTTCACGTGGATACAATACAATATCAATGATCGATTGACTTAATACGTGCACATCCTCGTCAGATTTTTAAGGGTGTACCCGCCCATATTATTAATCCAACTTCTATATATTACATGCTACCATTGAATTACAGAGCAATAGGTACTCATTATTTCAAAAAAGTTATAACTTTATTTTGTGACTATTTTTTTCACATAATGATGCTTGTGTACACAACATACTCGTATAAACACGTCGAATCGAAAAACTAAAAGTTTTAGTATGGAAATCTTGTCAAATCTTATCGAGTCAGTCATACAATATTATGTTATCTCACCACGCGCGACGTGAACGGATCGGAACAGAACGACTACACAAACTGTTATGAAAATCATATAACACTGTGACAATAAATATTTCAACAAATCATCGTGGCTTATAACGTTTTACCATAATAAAAGTATACCTCATTCACATTATTAGACAAGGTAGCATGTTTTGCGTGAACTGCGAAAAAAACATTTATAATTAGTTCACTAAACTCACCTTCTCATATCATTGAATTATCAGTCATAATAAACATATCATTTACAGAACGTGTACCAATACATTATTATTTATACTAATACTAAACAATACGCATGAAGGATCGACTCACAGAGATTTCACGTATTTATTTCGGATGAATTGAGAGACTGGGCTTATAATAATAACATTATGGTATGTTTTTATACCGGTACGTGCCTACGTATGCATATTATATTATTATGCGCAAATAAAAATTCTATTAAACTCAGCTGTATATCACTATGTGTGGATGATTATGACATAATATATTATAAAATATTATAATCATTATATATTTACTTGAGCGCCCTCCAGCAACGTTGGAGTTGATTGAAATTCACAAGCGACCGAGAAAAAATAATCGGAAATCACTACTCACATATTATATTTTATTAATAATTGTTACACCGACGGCGGTAATTATTAGATATTAGTAGACGCCGAGCGCGGTGCTAAATTAATGAAGTATACGGTTGACAAATTTGTAGTATGTCAATATATAATTTGTCGACGAAATAAAAAATTATGATGGAGATTTAACACTCCCGTCTCGGCATCATCGTCATCATCGCCGCGACACTCACTCGTACTACACCTCCCACCCGTGTACTATGTATATTATGGTATTTCCAATAACCTCATCGTTGTTGCGTCGTGATTTTCGGAGAGGTTTCGACGACCGCGATGTAACCATGGTTATGACAGCGGGTCGCTTTAGTAAAAGCGACTTCTCTCTTTGCTGTAAACTATGATTTTCAACAAATAAATTGTCACCGAGATTGTGTAAACCGTATGGTTATTAAACGGTATACCAAAATATTGAGTTTATAATTAAATACCGTTATTAATAAATTATTATTATATTCTATGATGGTAGATAGGTATACTTATACTATTGCATTTATTATAAGATAGAATTCAATCCTGTACTCAACTACCCAAGTAGTGTTATGCACCAGTTACCACTTACGATTCAGTCCATCAATATTCTATATCACTCACCACGCAATTAAACATTTTTTTTCTGGTTATTCCTGGTTAACGTTATCGGGGTGAAATTGCGTGAAGTCACCTTTAAGCCGGGTTTCCATAATATACTATGTCGTGCACCTTTGAATATAATATTCGACTCGTAGGTAACGTATTACCGACGTTTTGTTACCTATACAAAATAAAAAAAAAATGTGGAACACTACACGATACGGTGTAGTGGAAATCCGGCTTAATTCGGTTTGGATTGATATGCGGGGGAAAAAACCGTTCACCACGAATGTCGGAAAATGTTTTTCCGAGGATATCGCGCCACAGAGCTGATGTGATCAAATCCCGGATTCGAGAGGACCTCACGTACCACTATTATACAAATATAGTCGGGCGCGGAAAACGACCACAACTAATGGTAAATTGATAAAATCTTTTCGGATATTTGCTCCGATGCAATTCACCGATAATTTTTGTCCGATAATACAAAATCCTACCGTAAAATAGCTAATATAGGTAGGTAGGTAATAAATGACTGTAGGCCATGTAAGGATACAATCGGCAATAAAATCGTGTTGTCCAATTCTGATTTTTTTTTACATTTTATAGGCAATCATCGGTCACCTGAAACTGGATGTTTTAAATCTTTTTGCTCGTTGGATACACATGATGCCGTATACTCACCCCAGTATTTTTTCTTTAATAATTCATTTAATCAAATTATAATTTTTGGAATTTTTTAGTATACTTAAAAACCATATTATTATGTTTTCAATTATTTGGATTTTTTATACGACTTAAGAAATGTCTTTGGTATCGCAAAACTTTTTTTTTTTAAATAAAAACCGACTTTTTTTAAAAAATTTTACGTATCTGAATCAAAATTTGAATCATTAGTTTCCGATAATTATTAAAATGTAGACAGAGTTCAGTTCTGCCTCACGAAATATCCTATTTTGATTGCAGTTTTTTTTAAATAGCGACATTGCTGCACGTTTTTAAAAAATAATTATTTGCTTACAATTCTCTATTATAGTGTATTTTAGCTTTTATATCCATATTAGTATGAACACCGAAGATACAATAATAATAGAGTCTGCGAAAGACCCAATAAATGTCTCTAAATTAATTCAAAACACCTCGACATGTGATTCAATATTTGTTTTCTACCGTTGTTAAAACATCTACGAAATCAAGTCCTCATTAGTCATTTTCTATTTAGGCTCCTAGGGGCTAGGAGGTATATCTACCAATCATACTAAACAATAACATACAATTCTCACAGAACATTTTACAAAATAATATAAAATATGTATGGTGGTCAAGTGCATTCCACAGTCAATAAGAAGAACAACGAAACAACATAGGATTTTACGATTATTTTTTCCCGTGAAAATGGTTTACAATTTTATTTGAATAATGTACGGCGTGAACATTATGCACCCGACTGAAATACAAATCATGTTCTTGGTCCCTCCAATCGTTTGGATTCGTTCTAAACTACACACGATGTACAATACTACAGTATTTTCGTTGTACTTCTGTCGTTCTATCGATTTGTGGAAAATCATCTACTTGAATTTTTTCTTTCCACACACGCCTGTCATCATTTTTACTCGCGTACATAAAGTATAACTTTCGTGATTTGCACATTGACGAGCCGCAACCCTGCGGTGGAAATCCTACGCGCAGTCAAACAATATATTATAACAATATAATAATCGATTGCCAACGGAAAAAAAATGTTGAAAATGGAATCCTAAGCGGCCAACGCCCACCCCCTCCCGCCCAGACAGACTACACTGGTCCGTCGGAAAAACCACCGCCCATCGTCGGTGTACAATATTATACAAGCATACTAAGTACGCGTGGTACATAAGTCTATTTTAGTTCACCGCCAAATGGACTAGAAAATCGTACGAAATATAATAAAAGTGTATTATATAAGGTGATAACCAAATATGCTCACCACCTTTTATCCCTTAACAATATGCGCTTTTAATCATATTTTAATTTTTGAAATTTTTACTTAGTTATTGAAAAACATATTTTCAGATCCTCAATATTTTTTGTACCATTTAGGAAGTATAGGTGTAAGAATTAGGAGAATCCCGTAACGATACAAAATCATTTTTTCAAATTAGCACCATTCTTTTTTACAGTAAATTATTAATCAAATTGTTTTTTTGAAATTTCGTCGCATCCAAATTGAAATATGAATTAAGTAGCTCCTGAGTTATTAAACATTACGTACTAAGCTGGTGTATTGTCCTGGTTTTTAAAATTTAAGATTGTTGATATAATATTTTTTAGTCTCTATTACTTATTAAACTATGATATATTTTACAAATTACGAAATTGTGATTGATAACTATAACTGTTAAATCATCATCTCCCACATATCTTCTGAACCTATTTTTATTAACTATTATCCTTAGTTTTTAAAGTTTAATAACTCAGTAACTACTAGTTAGTATTTCGAGGTGATCACATCAACGTTTTCAAAACCATCATCTTCAGAACAATTATTAATAAATAGGAGGTTAAAAAAAAGGAATTTGCATCTCCACAGTATACACTTATTGAATTAAGTAAAAAAAATTGTGTATTTGAAAATATAGTTTATGAGAAGTATACTGAAAATTTGTAAAAAGTATGCGCACAGTGTGCTCAATACTTAATGGAAAAGTAAGTAAAGTGTTCAGGGCGGCTTGCCGTGATCGTCCTCTTCACTCCACATCATACCACTATTTGAAAAAGTTATATTACATAACTGTACTCAAAATGGGACGTTTGACGTTTATCAACACAAATCTTTGACTCTATTTTTTATATCAATATTACAATATGGAATACGGAGTATGTTTTTTGTGTCGAGTAATACAAATACATAAATGTCGATGTCAAATCGGAGAGACAAGAGCATTGTATAACTCTATACACATTACACATACAGTAAAATAGTTATGTGGTACATATTAACGATTTCAATGATATCTATCAGGAAAAAATGGTTGCCAAAGAATAATAATATTTTATCTTTTGTAATTCTTACCTGCGACTTGACGGCCGCCAGGTGCATTTGCGCGGTGCGAAATTCGAATCTCTTGATGCTGATGTCCTCTTGCAGTTCGTTCGCCTTGCTGAACATCGACTGTTCCAGGCTCCTGTCAGAAAAAAACAGACGAATAAAAACATCAAACAACAATAATTTGAATTTGCCGCATACAAAAATATAATGCTCTAGACTCTGGAGTATAGAGTATGATATTTTTTATTTTGTAACCAATTCGTTAACTCTTCAATAGCATATAGATATGGGCGGATAGGCCAATTTTGGCCTACCGGGAAATTTTACAAAGGGGCCATACACATGAAAAAAAAATTTCAAATTATTTCTATCGTAGGTAATTGCATTTTATTAAAAGGCCCCATTACCAAAATACGAAGGGGGGCCCGCCGGGAAATGCCCGGTTTCCCGGTAGGCCTATCCGCCCATGCGATATAGATCTAACTTAGTCATCTATAGGATCGGAAAAACGAAATAATTATTATAACCTATTCTATAATATCGAAATTTGTTTTGTCGTATTCGTCCACCAAACCGGAAACAATTGGACACGGCACGTGGGTAAAAGAGTACAAGTTAAAATCACTATATTATCATCAGGAAAAGTCAGTAATGGCGTTTTCGTTTTTTTTTCTAGGTTATTTAAAATTTAAATTTAAAAAGTTCAACTATGAAAAATACACTTTTCTCTGCTTCAAAACGGGGACAAAATTAAAAATGGTCGAATTGACATGACGTTTCCAATTACCCTTACACTGTCCGCCGCGATTCGTTAGAATAGGCGATAGACACCTACTAATAATTTAATGCTATTAAATTTCTCATTACGTTCACGACTGCCATGTGCCATGGCGATATCATATTTTACATGATAGGTGGGGGGAACTGTCTATGAAAATTTACAAATTTATCAATGTAATATTATTAGGTATAAATTATTATCGTAACGACCGGCGATTATCGGAAACCGGAGGAAACGGAACATATAATATTAAACAGTCGATTAATCCCGTCGTGTCGATGAGCCCCATCATAAACGAGATTATACTATCGACAAGAGAAAATATTGCACTCCCCCCCCCCCTGAGGCCATGTTACTGTGTATTATATATACGTGCATTCGGAATTGTATACTGTGAGGTTCTTATTCACTATCACTGGTGCGGTCATTTTCTCCGTAAATATAATATGTGTGCTTGAAACGACACAATGTTTGCTCACTACTTTTAATCACTCATCTGTGTAATTTAAAAAGTTATTTTCACTAAAATACTAGCGGGGTGTTGGTGTGATGTACGATTATCACTAATTAACGAGCTGGGTCTTGGTGCGGTACACGATTTTCAAGCATCAAAAACATCAGAAAAATAAACTGTCCGGGTGAAAAAAATAAGAATAACAACTAAGACGACGAAAAAGATACAAAAAAATGTAATTTTCGTTTTCAATAACGTTGCGTGTTACAACGACTTTAGACTACATAGGGTACGGTATAATAACATTTATTTTCAACAACACATAAATTGGCCAAGAAAATTGCTAAATGGGAAGCGATAAAATAATCACCCTGTAAAAATGTAATACGCAGGGTGATTCTTTCAACATTAAACATTTCATTTGATAAAAAAAAGAGGGTAGGCATTGTAGTTTTTGAAAATATTTTTTTATTACCTAAATTTAGTTCACTGCAAAAGAATATTTTTGAAAATAAATTATAATTTTTTTAATAATTGTTCAATTTGAAAAATAACGGACATTTAGTTCCATATCCTGAAACAGAATATTTTTATAAGAGTCATAATGTATACAAATTTAATTTATCTTACATATATTTAGTGGCACTTTGCTCATAAAAACTTTAAATGCTTAAAAGTTACATTAGTACTTATAATAGTATTAAAGTTATAAATTATAACCAACTGCTCTGTAGAATTCAATTTTTATTAGATAATGTGCATCAAAAGACAGAGGAAAATATTCTGTTTCGGAATATGAAATACTTTCTTTCGGGACATTCAAAAAAGTAGAAACTAAAAAAATGATTGCGATAAAAAATATAATTTTTTTCAAACGTAATTTTTTAATTAACTTAAGTTATGAAAAAAAATGTTTTCAAAAACTTATTTTTTACCGTTAAATGAAACACTCTGTATATATGTATTACTCCAATAGAAGTAGACTCGTTCACAGTGTTATACCTTTGGGCGGGATGGGACCGGGGGCTTGGTGGGTGGTGGGTGTTGGAAGGCAGACGTCGCATAATTTTACACTACATTAATTTTTGGTTATTGTTATAATAATATATTATATCTACTGTGAAACTTTAATTTAACTCGCACCGAAACAACAATAACCTATAGGCGTATACAATTATTATTATGATTAGCCTTAGTAACTTTGAACTCGATAAAAAGTTGTTCGTGCACTATATAAATTTGAATTTAAATTTGCTGTACGCTGATTATTTATAGAATATCTATTTAATAATCAAGTAATTATTATGTTGTCCCCAATATTGTATAGGTAGGCAACTGAAATAGAAAAATTACTCGCAACACGTAACCGGAAAAAGTATCCCTGACGTTTTATGTTCATGTCGTAGTTTTTGTAATTAAGTTCTATACCTAGTATTAGTATGGATATTATTTAAAAATGTGTAAATTGTAAAGTAACCAGGTACATATTTGATTTAAGGTCTAATGGTTAAATGATTAAAACCATCATAGGAGTGAATTTTTTTTTTTGTATCAACTCTACTCTGGACTTTTGTGAGTAACGTATTATGTATGATAAAAATTCAAATCCAAACAATATTCATGAAATAAAAAGACACTATAACATAAAACTACAAGAGATACTTATAAATATAATAGATATTTCTAATTTTAATAATATTGGTCGAATATTGATATTTTTTCCTATTATTTATAATAATGTTTGGTTGAGTTTCAACCAAATAACTTTGTGTATCTATACTTAGAGAATTAAAATTTCAAGCAAATATAAACAATGAAAAATAGACCTATCAGATATGATGGGATAGACGTTACGGTGGCGCCATTTCAATTTTCTGTAAGAGATGCCAAAGGTCAAACGGTCAAATTAATTTCCTTTACTAGTACCTACACATCATATTATGAAGCTTGTCTTATTTATCATAAAATAAAAAAGATTATAGAACATTAACATTTTACTCTCATTGTTGAATCAATATTGAAAAATTAATTCGTTATATTTATCAAAAATAACAGTTAATATAACTCATTAACTAATTGATGGTTTTAAATATTTAATTAATTTCAACAACAAACGGAATTATTATAAAACTGTGATCAATTTTCAATATTTGTCGACACTTTGATATATAATCACAAAGGTCTGCAGCACGTTATTTATTATATAATATTATAATTATCGCAGTATGAATTAATAATAAAGCATTTCAGTATAAATTGTTCGACATAACTCATCATAAATTTAAATATATGACTTAAATCATTATCAATAATGGAAAATATTTAACACAATCGAAATTAATTTGATTTAGTGCATGTCCATATTTATGTTTCACTCGTGTATTTGTTTGACAACGACATTTGATTGGTTATTACATATTAATGTATTGTCTATACTTTAAGCTTAATATTACAATTTAATGAGTTTCTTACAAACTTTTATTTGTTTAGATTTGTAATATTGCACTTAATAGCATTTCAATAGAATTGAAAAATTAATCTCGAGCTCCAAGTGTAGCAAAATTTTCAGAAGCAATTTCCGTTAATGTAATTTTGTTGTATGTATCATAATTAGTTTTATTTCTATTGTCATACTTCGTAATTTAAAAATAATAATTTATCTTATAGGCCTTAACAAAAAATTAAAAATACATTGACTAAAAAATATGATACTGCTATTTAAAAAAATATTTTTTTAAAACAATTAATCAAAAAAAAAAAAAACTGTGCTTTTGAAAATAATCAAATGCAACCGCACAATGTTTAAAAACTTCCCGGTAACCTACTCAGATACAAAATAGAAATAGAAATCATAATACATGTAAAGGTATTTCGATAAAATAAAACACAGAAACAGTTAAAAAAATCTGCTTAACTAAGCCCATTATTAATTAAAATATACTTTGTATTGTACTCTATACACAGTCGGCCAATGTAGTTAACTATAGTTATGTTTTGAGGGTCAATTAAGATGTATGGTTATTTAGTTTGAATGTATACTGCTTGAACAATAACAATCTTATACTTGGTCAGCAAAAGTTAAATCTATAAATGACAATATTGTTCCAAAGTAAAATATATCATACAGTTTTATGATAGATTAGCACACTACATTATTTGAAAGCAAGGTAGATTTCAGTTATCCGAAATTGTATAGGTACCCTGAAGAGATGGAGAGATCAAAGAGAATGGAAATATAATATACATTGAAATACATTAACATACTGTTATACTTAATGTACCTAATCAAAACACTAAATTGTACATAAAATAAATGAAGCTGCATTTCACATGAAATATTATTATCATCTAAAGGCACTGCTGATAATATTCGGTTGAAGAACACATCGAGTGCCCAACATGACAATAAACTGTCACAACTAGGACAACGACTAAACAAATTTTTCTAAAATACCATATACATTTACTACTGTTATTGTGAAATACAAATCGTAACGATAATCTTTCCCGAAACGACACAATATTGTTATCGTTAAAAATATAATTGTTACAAATCATTTGAAGCTTTATAGTTATCATCTACCTTATTAAAATGTTTATTAAGTAAGAGTAGTTTAAATTTTTCAAATAATATTATTGATTTTAGTTCTTCTATGCATTGTCGTATTCTTTTACAATAAATAAAATACAGTTTTTAAAAAAATTGTATGAAGAACAAACGTAGTGCGATAAAAAAAAATGTATACATTATGCTACACGTTTAAAAATCAAATTTGCGGTTGATGTCATATTTTTTTGTGCACAAATGTATTTTTCTGTACCAATGATCTCCCTATACTCATTTTGAATCGAATCAATCGAAACCACGTCGTTAATACGATAAATCACAATTTTAATGTTTTCTGTTCGTTTATGTATTTTTGTAAAAATACTTAAACTGTTCAAATAAATTTTAATATCCCCACTAATCGTATTCTATTTATACAATGTGTTATGATTGTTAAAAATAAAATATCTATTACAAACAAATTCACAAACAATTTTGAACCACATCTCTATATAATATGTATTTTGTAGTTTAAGTTCATGTCATAGAAACAACATTGCGATTCGTGGATTTCAACTCCATTCACCAGAATCGAACATAAATTCAAAAACAGTTCAATAATATGGCAGTTTCTATAAAAATATTACTCTTTACTTAGCAACAGTTTAAATTGGATTAAATAAATACAGTTATTTCGTCTCGTTTATACACAGATATTACATAAATGCTAACAAACAAAAAGTATCTGTTGACTGTTAATATACCTATAAAATGTATGGGACTAGTGATTTGTCTATTTAAACGGACACATAATATTACAAGCACTAATTATTATGTTGTTATTTAACTATTATTATTCCATTAAGTACAGTTTTCGCGAAAAATTCAATAATATTTTACTTGGCGTCATGTTGTAGACAAAAATATGATAAAAGTTTCAATCAAGTTACACGTCTTATAATAATATTATTAAAATGCGTAGCAATTTTAATGTCGAATCGTACATTTTTACCGAGTCAACGTATTTATATGATTACTGGAATCATTATTAGGGGAAGGGGATACAGGCTAGGCATGATTAAATTATTATTATTATTATTATTATTATTACCTACATAAAGACCGTCAATTTTGGATCACGATTTACTCTTCCCGCCGCGCAACCAATTCGAACGAAAGAGGGAACGGTTCTTGATAGAAACAATGTAGCGAAGCGATGTAATATTTTATATGATTTATGGGTTATTTGTACGAATTAGGTTCGTTTGATTTACGTACCTACTGTCTATATACACCGTAGGCGAGAGTGCAAGGATCGATTAATAAACGCTGGACGGGACTAAGGGACTGATTGACCGGAATAATATGATGTATACCGTGACGTGGTTGAACGTATTCGATTTCGATTAATTATCGTCCGCGAAACGAATCGCGTCCGTTTATAAAAATCGCAAATGATTAAACCGGATATAGAAGGTGTCTAAATTGCCCTCGTTGTGTGTGTGTCTCTCTCTCTCTTTCTCTCTATCCTTGTAATGGTCTCTACACGTATTTTTATATAATATATATTGTATTATTTGTAATAATAAAAATAAAATCGTATTGTACTACACGAATGATAAATGAAGATACATATCCGTCAGGGCGAGAGAGAGTGAGAGGGTAAGTGTGAGTGAGAAAAAGAGAGGGGGGACGGAGGAAGTAAAAAAAATGAAACAATAGGGTTTCCAGCTTGGTTTTTTGTTCGCACTGCTGCTGTCGAAAAAAAACATTACAAAAAGATAACGACTTTTCTATGGAATATAAATAATCATAACAACATAATACAATATAATATAATGACTAAATATAGAAAAAAATTAAAACTAAATCGTAGCGTCGAATTTTTGTTTTCGGTCGAATCGAGCGCGCAGAGACGACGACGATAAATTTTTAATATTCGTGTTGGCGTTGGTTGTATGAGGTCGGAGTAGGAAACGATGCTTTTTTGTATCCGTTTGCAGCAGTTTCCGTACGATAAAACGCGTCCCGCGTGTGATGTATCCGGAAGATCGTCGTCGTCAGATAATATGTCGTCTCTCGCCGCCTAGTTTGACGTCGACCGAGTGAGAACTAATAACCATAATAATAATAATAATAAAACAGTTTTAACATGACGTGTCTTGATAGAATTCCGGTCCGGTCGTCGAGTCTAATAATAATTAATATCATCAATAATGTATAAATACGATAGAAAAAAAAAATTAATACATTATAATATGAGACACAATAACCTATATCATAATATAGGAGACCATCGTAACAATGATTTTAGCTGAGATATTATGTAATTAGTATGTTCAAATATTGTTGTTGGAACAGACGTCAACTGACATTTCGACATGGTTTTTCTAGTTGCACTACATAATCTTACACATCCGCTGATCCGTCTCAATACTGACCATCGTCAGAGATTTGACAAAAATTAACGTCATGCGCGATCGACAAAACACTGCCCTAGACGGATTAGTCTTAACTCCGTTTATTTTATGCCAATTTATAGTGTATAGGTCGGTGGGTGACATTTTTATTCGATTATCCTTCGGAAGAAATAAATAGGATCACGGTGGTTAAATACGTTATTGTTGCAATTCGATTTGGAGACGACTGTAATATCGTCTGCGTTGAAAAAAAATCGTTTTAAACGCGAAACTATAAAAACGATTTGATAAGAGATTCCGTCCCAACGCGGCTTGTCTATATTTATGCCATAAAACTGGACTCTAAACTTGTCACTAAAAGTCAAAACTGCGTTTACTTATGATATGTGAGCAGTGAGCAGTAGTTGTAAACAGACAGCAGTTATACGTGCCTAATAAATATACGTTTTTATGGTTTTTAATAACATTCGCATATACCTGCACCGGAGAGAGCTTTTTCTGAAAAGCAACGAAAAAAAATGTATTTTTCTAGTCACACAATAAAAATCATTTTTTACGTTGATTATCGTAATACTTTTCGTACTATTTTAGTGAAACCGCGTATCTGCACTCAGTAGAATGGTGAAAGGGGTAATCGACAGGTGGCCTGAATTTCTAAAGGTATATTGGATGACCAATAAATAGGTGATAACTAAATATTAACCAATAACTATTGGGTGTTAATAATCCGACAGGGTAGGTAGTTGCAATTGATATGACAGTGAATGCATTTACCGGATTATCGGTACTACAGCGTGCGTGTAATATTAGATTAGCTTCTGAAAAATGTTAAGCTCGTGACGCCACTGTCTGCACTGTGTGCAAAGTCAATAGGTTCGTACCAAACGTGTATGATGAACACAAATTATTTAGTGTTGAAATCGATAATCTCATTTATTTTAGGTATTCCATCAATATTGTGTCATAGATTGAAATAACACGGCCTTCATTATCCCAGTAAATAGTCAGAGCTATATCGATTATTAGACAATAAGTGAACACCGACGCAGACAGCAATAATTGGAATGTTTTAACTGCACCACAATAATTACCTGCGTCGTACGCGTTCATATATTATACGCACAGCCAGAGCCGTTTTACAAATTATTACATTGTTTCTCTAACCCCGCAGAATGTGACGAATTTGTCAAGCGCCAACAGAGAACAGCCGGAAAAATAGTTGTTAAAAGCAAAACAATTCATAAAACACCATTTCATTTCTAGAGTTGAAACCATACGCACAATGTAATATCAAACGTTGTAATTGAAAATTATTGCGACTTTTATACGTTCCACTATACGACTGCTTGTACGTTATTCTGGAATTAATCGATTTTCAAACATGAATTCAAGCGAGTTTTACTCGAGACCCCGAGTTTAAACGTCTACCATCAATTAAATTAGTACACAGCAATATACCTTATAAAATTTAAGTAATTTAAGAGGTCCCCGCCAAAGATTAGGAGATTGCGTGGGATATAAGGTTTGAGCATGGCTATCTGTGTATGTATGTATATACCTACGCCATATATTATTTAAACTTTAATTGCTTCTAAAAACAAAAGGCGCAGGGCGAAATTGAAATGTCTAAAGCTCAGCGAAATTGTATTAGTGTAATGAATTTGTAATGGACATACTTAAACATTTAGTTTCAGAAATACATTTTTTAGCTTAAATAAACTGTATGGTTTTTTACGGTCGTATTTTCTCGATAACTACCGTAATCCGTTGTTGTGTACATTTTATACATGGAGAGTGAATAATTAAATGAAATCCATTTAAGCTAGACGGGAAGAAGTATATAGAGGTAATATTGAAAAAAAAAATGATAAAAATAAATAAGAAATTATGGACCTTAATATTTTTTTCTCGCTCGAGTCGGGGCTATCACCTTTCTCGAAGGATGGTGATATAAAAAAAATGTTTTTTGTTTTTATCTATTTTGTAAGATGTCAGAGAAAAAATCCAATTTTGGTAAAATAGACTTTTTCGCGGAATGGCTTTGTCGCTAGAATAGAGCTGCGACAACATTGATACGGTACCAAATGTGTACAGTATTAATGATGATGGTTTAGATTACGAGTTTATTAGGCAGTTAAACTTGTAACAGGATTAATAGTAGGTTCTTAACAAAAATGCACAACTTAAAAAATGTTACGTTTTGGATAGGCAGCGTGCCAGTGTATATTATAACAGCGAACAAATGTGCGAAATTTGTAGGAGAAGTGGATACGAATATTGCATAAGAGTTCTAGTTTTAATTTTTACACCCAGCGGTCCACCAGTTAAAATAAGTTGGGCTAAAGTTATAGATGGCATTTGTGTCTAAAACACTGTTGACAGCATTTTCGCCGCTGACGTATTGTTACATGACAGCTGGAGTTTCGTATTGTATAATTTACTTTATTTAGCGAGTTGAAATAATATTATGTCACTTGAAATGCTGCCTCTTAAAGTTAGGAAATGTTTAAGTATCATTTCACATTAAATTAAATATTTTAAAGCATCCATAATTATAATATAATGGCGTGTGAAAGTATAAAATTTTCTTTTTATATAATTTCCCAAATACATATTTATATAGTCTGAACTCTCGCTAAGTGCATTTATTAGTTGATATTACTAATAAATAAGATGTGTTTGATAATATTGATTCACGCCCCTAATTGTTTATTTTTTTTTTTAATTATAAATTGTGTTTTTACTGGGCATAGTTCACCGGTTTTTTAATTTCGCTACCAATGGCCTGTAATATTATGCATTTCTATGTCAGTATAATAAACCTTTGTTGTAAGCGCTTAAACGTTTCCACCGAATCTTGTATCTGTTTCATCTGTGACTCGAGGTCCATCAGTTCTGCTCTTATGGTGTCGTATCCTGCTCGCACGTCCAAGCTGGCCAGCCTGTCGACGATCAGTTCGTTTTTTAACGCCAGTTGTGCTATGGCCTCCTGGAAGAAACAAAAAAACACGTGACAGTAAAACCTTGACAAGCCAAGCAGTGTGGTTTTAATATCGACGACGGTCGACTTACCGTGACCCCGGGTTCCAAAATCATCCCCTCGGTGTCCGCCGGAGCTTGTGGTGGACAATAGTTTCGGGTCCGCTGCGATGGGTACGGCGTGGTGGGCAGTGGTGCTAGGGACCGGGCGAACGCGACCAAATCCGAACCAGGTGTCAGCTGTCGGCATTGGGATCCCAAAGCGTTGTATCTCTTCGATTGATCGGTGGACTGTGCACAACAACAGATCGATATGAATTAATAAATCGTCACCGGACGGTCGGGTTTTTTTTATCTTAGAATGGATTATGTTACGGACAAATAGTATCATGTAAATTATTCATCAATACCTTGTTGTATATGACGTCGGATCCTTGGAGAACCGCGTCCGACAGGGACATACACAAGTCCGAGTAAACGTCTTCTAATTCCTATAATACGGTTAAAAAATGAATTAGAAATTCTGAGGCTATAATATATTAAATTATTTTATTGTGTTCATACCACAGATTATATGAAATCAGATGGTGCACTTTCTATTCAAGCCACATATTTTAACCATGTATTTTTCAAAAATCTAAAAAAATCTAAACTTACTTCTAATCAGTATCACCAATTATAGAAAAAAAAACCTTTTTTGATAAGAACTTATTAAATATTATAGTGTCGCTGGTATTTATCATTCGCTCCAAATTCTTTACCATTGTCGTATTATTTGATACCAAATTATTATAGTAATAGTAATATGTTATGCAATCATTTATTTCTCATACTATATGATTCAACTGCATTAAGGTGATAGGTTCGATTTATCAGTAAATTCAGAAGTGCACCGTCTGGTTTTATATAATCTGTGGTCATACGCAGTTCATTGTATATAAACGGGTATATTATATGTGGTGGCATGGTCCTAACCGAACGTTACCTGTAATAGTTGCGGTAATACATATTGGTTGTACTGGTCGACCATTCCGTTGGTGGCATGAAGTTGGGTGACATAGGCATTATGGGCGTCAAGGTACGAAGATAGGGATGCTGAGCTGTTTGGAGATGACAGCTGGGCAAGGAAAGAACGTTTGTAATCTTCTCTGCACTGTAGATCAACAATCATAATACAATAATATAGTGTTGTATGAGTAGTTATAATTATTTTTTTTTTACTGAAAAATAAAAGCTGTATTTTCCTAGCACCCTTCCTCTCTCTCCTTAGACATTTTGGAACTAAACTAGGAGCATTTTTTTGTGTCCGACTTTGGGCGTTTGTGTAGCAATCCCTGATTTTTAATGATTTTTTCAAGGTAAGGTGCAACTGAAGCAACCACACCCCCGCCTTGGAATTTTGGAACCAATTTTTAAAAATAAAATAAGTCATGTTCGTTTAAGTTAGGGCGTTTTTACATCACGCGAGGTTCTTTTGCGTTATACTATAGGTATTATTGATTTTTCGATTTATAAACTTAAAAACCCACCTCCATAATTTGAATATTAAATTTGACGTAATATGCAAACGAAAATAATTGTGATATTTTCCAGAAGAAATAAAACATTTTGTCCGATACAAATTTGTTTCATTTTAATAGAAATACGCAAGGTCTTAAGAAATATTTATTTCAATCTGTAACAAACTATATCGAAATCGACGTCATTAGTAAATATTTCAAGACTTAAACAAATCAATACCTAACAGTAATTTTTACGTGAATGAAAGGCAAAAAATACAAAGTGAAGAGGCAGTTGGGGGTGCTTTAAATTAAGTAAATTAAAATTTAATTTAATATTTCCTACGAAAAACGATTTTAATCAAGCGTTTTTAATACTATTATAGTTCAAACATTTACCTTTGATAGTTTATCCTCGGACTTTTGCAGGATCAACTCCAACGAGTCTCTTTGGCTGAATACTTTACGTGATTGTACTTTTCGATGGAACGACCTATCTAAAAGCGGCCTAGAAATTTGTCGACCGAGCACACTAGCCACGTCACTGATCGACTTCGAGTCCGTTTCCACCTCTTGCAGGAACATCTCCCACGTGTGGAATAATTGGCTTGGGAATGAGGGCCTGAGAATAATAAAAAATACGGTATTAAGACTAATACTGATTTTCCTTAAATGACGAAGGCATGTTTTTCCTTATTTCCGACTGTAGGATAAAAATAGGGCGTTTCGTATTTCTCGGAAGGCCTGCTGTAGTTATTTTCGGGCGTGTAAAAATATTAAATTACGCATTTTTCAAGAGTGAAACGAGAAACCTTAAGCGCGTTCTCTGTGTTTTTAACTATAGGTTTTTTCCTGAAAGTAACCCGACTTGTAAACCTCCGCTCTCCACAAAAAAAAAGCCTCTTTTCCCCGTCTCGTTCTCTCTCAAAGTCTATTTGCTTTACGTCCCTCGACCTTTTTAATAGGTGTAGGTGTTTATAATATATATAGGCAGTATACCTGTCCTTCCTGAGATCGGTGTTTTTCTTTCGGAAATTCGTGACTAGCAGTTGCAGCTCGGCTGCGTGTTGTTCGTACATTTGGGACAACTCTTGCGTGAAATCGGACACTGTAACAAAAAAACAAAAATTATAAGAATACTAATAAGAATCGCAACTATTAAATACGAGGGTAATATTAAAATTCATTTTTATTATTATTATTATTATTATTATTATTATTATTAAGACAATGACTTTTTTTATATAGCGGCCAACGGTTGAGGTCAAACAATCGTCTTCCATTGCCAGGACGAAAAACAACGACAATATTATAGATAATACCATATCATGTCAATAAGCGCGTAATCTCGGCCTAGAAGAAAACTATAACTACTCGTACTATAATTAATAACAATAATATTTGGTCATTTGCAGCCAACGAAACATGGACAGTTATTTAAATACAAGATTAAATATGCATACATGGTGTACACATAACCATCAACTTATTCGTTAAAAGTTGACGACGGCGATTTATATATACCTATACGTACTCATATATTTTCTATTAGTACCGTTATGGCGTGGCGCAATACGTATTTCCTGCCGGAAGAAGTGTGGAGCCACAAGACGCGCGAGGACTGTTGGTTGACGATATACGGGTCGGTGAAAAACGTTTCCGGCCTTATCGAGGAGTTCGGACACGACGGGGATCTGGTGAATCCGATACTTCGGGAAGCCGGGAAAGACGTATCTTACTGGTTCGAAAAGAATGGACTCGGCGAAATTATCGTGAGCACAATATGACGTTATATGATAATAACATTATGTTGCCAAAAACAATTTAAAACAATTAATCGTGTTCGAAAATTAATATTGATTACACATCAATTGGTAATCTAATAAGATGTATTACTATTCAATTCAACTTCCTTTTCGTAATAAACCGTTTTTACACTATTTCATAGATTTCGGAAATTTTTTTCCCGCTTCTTAAAAAGAAAACAATTGTAATGTTCATATTAAATTTTACTCCTAAACAACCCACACAACCGCGTGCACATGTATATCATATTAACGAGAACCAAAACTCTGGCCATTTAAAAACTGCAGCTGAAAACGCGTCTCCACCCCGAAACCGGCGCCCGCGTGTCTAAGCTGCCGTTCAGGATACCCCACCAGCCGAAATTCGAACCGGACGTGGACTGGGAACCGGAAATTATAACGACTCCGTGGTGGGCGGACGACAAGTACAACGTTGGCGTGGAAACGGTCAGACCCATCAACGTCCGAGTGACTAATCCGCTCATTAAACGGAGTGCGACAATAAGGGTAGGTACGATACAATATAAGGGCTGCAGAAGTGAGTCGATGGGTGCACCGATGCGATCTCCAATCACTCTAATCTTATAGATTATTTGTTATTTTTTTCTATTCTGCGATCGAATTCTGACGACAGCAGCTGTGCATACATATTTTCATATCGCACATAAAGATTATTATTATGTAATATTTATAATACATAATAATGTGATTGTTTGTCAACAAATTGGGCTGGCGAGTTTATTTTTTATTTCTTCAAAATGTGATTAAAAATTGACACGTTGAACGCAGGTGGCGATTTCTAAATAATATTAAAGTCATATCAATACATCGTATGGCGGCCTTAATAGATATTATGCTACGTTTTAGATATGTTTGGAGGACACTGTTCGCCGGATAATGGAACGTTATTCGGTGTACAACCCAAAAATATGGACCTACAAAATGAAGTACTTGGGCAAACCATTGAATAAAAACTTGAATTTGTCACAAAATGGCGTCACTCTGAAGTACGAAGACTCCGTAGAAGACTTTGTGCCAACGTTGATGTTACACTATCAAGAGAGATTAGCCCCGTGGAAAGATGTGACGCGATTATTCTAAACACAATGATGCCTTTATAAATATACGTCATCTATTGTGTAGCTGTTATATAATAGCAATGATGAGTGTAGTTCTGTAAATCCTGCTAAGCCATATCGTTACGATAATAAAACGGAGTAGTTTTTATTTTTATTATTTTTTTTTAAATACTCAAATGTCATACTCAATAATATATTCCGTAAAAATGAATGTCTAATGACATTTCAAATCAAACCGATGGTGGAAAATTGTGAAGGTCTTATACCTTCATGTCTTATAAAATTATAATTTCCGAGGAAAAAGTCGATTGAATTGGCATTACAATCATATTTATTGAACTTGCAATATATAGGTGTAACTAAAATACTTACAGTGGTTCGTATAAGATTAATATAATATTATCATACCACAAAAATTTGTACGGTCTGTAGAGCATATTATAGTGTTTCGGATAGGACAACTGCAAATTGCTGACAATATCAAAGTTACTCAGAGACAATTCCCACGGGGTGGAACATATATTATCTGATGTCACGCCGGTAAGGATGACGTTTATCGTCTAATCTTATATCCTTGTTTCTGGCCGTGGATCATGTATGAACGTATCGCGAACAGTATACACCTGCAACCGTCTATACGCTTAATTTTGGAACCGCCGGGAGAAACTAAAGAAGAATATGTCAAATATGTTACCTATACTGTCGTGGACGTGTTTCGTTCTTGTCTGATTTGTGAAAAAAAATTTACCGGTGAAAAACCCTCGCACTAATTATCGCGAGGACTTGAGTTACGAGCGTTTGCACAATGCAAGTATATCAGTACCGCGGTTGTGCACAAGCTGGTTATTAAATCGCAATTTTAATTTTGCATGCACGCCACGGAGACACGCAAGTGACAAGTATATATCATTACTATATTGGTATGTATATACGAAAAGCTTTCTACGAAAGCTTGCTTCGCTAAGCATAATAATAATAATAATAATATAACGTGCTTGTGGGGATCCTAAATCTCATTCAAAATAATACTGATGATGCTGAAATCGTCGAGCGATACATGAAGATACAAAAAAAAAAAAAAACATCCCACAAACAAAAACAGTACCTACTTTTTCAACGAGGATAGCTGGAAAAGGTTTTAAATTTCATAATTATTCAAAAAATGTGGATTTTGTCACGTATTTAAAAAAAAAAACTGCCCCGGAAGCATAATATCCAATAAAGCGGTTCGGGGTCGTTTAAAAAGAATATTAGTATACCTATGTGATTACTATGTGCGGGAATGTCATGATAATATATTACTTAAATCATACAAATACACAATAATAATAATAATGACGCATATAATTTGTAATGAACAAACAGCGGCTACGTGGTGGACTATAGACAAAGCTGTAGTTCTCATCAATACTGTTACCGACTAAAAGTAAATTATAATGAATAATGGAATCGGCATATTATTTTGTATACGTTTGCTGTCGGAGGCTATACACACTAATTATTTTATGCATCGACGTCGGCATGATTAATTAATGATATCAATATCAGTACAGTATTGTACTGCAGTAGGTGCGTACTATTTTAACCTACATTTCCTTTGTGCAGCCGACAAAAGAAAATATTGTACGACGTTTCTTCAACGCCATGTTTTTTTTTTAATTGGACGTTTGTGTTGAAGATCCGTATTGCTTTTTATTCGAGCGACGGTCGGCTTTTTTGCAGCGTTTTGACAGCGGAGAACCGCCCGCGTCTATGGCCGTTTGTCTTGGGCCCGGTATAACGACGGTATTTCTGCGACGGTTGTCGGATGATAAATCTGGGAGGGCAGTGGCGGGCAGAGAGGGCGAGAGAGTGGACGAGATGAGTAGAATATTATTCTTATATATTTTCATCCCGACAAATACTATAAAACGTGGTATTATAACAATCGTGGTCTGCGGAAACGTCGTCGTCGACCTGCAGAACAACAACGTGTGCTCGGACGACCAAAATACTCAGTGCTCGTGTACGTAACGGATTTCAGCCGGGCCATCAGCGACCGGCTGCCTCAAGTCTAGACGACACACGTGGGTGGGATGGCGGAGGTGGTGTTCTCACAGTGGTGAGTGTGTGTGTGTGCGTGATTTCGAGGGGGGGGGCTGAGGGGGTAGCGAGACCGGATCGACGGGAAATCGCGAATTTATTAAATCATCTCGTGGCCGGCGGAAAAATCGTTCAATCGAACAAAACCTGCAGCAGCTCATTCGCGCTCGGGTACTCTGCCAAAACGATGATTGTAAAAACTAGTAGCGCCATATTTTCCATGGCGATCATCCCGAGGGATTTGTTTTTTTTTCACCGCCTATTCTCCGAAACTCCGAGCGGATTCGCATGCAAAACAAAGATGTTTGATAGTAATAATGTGATCGAATATTGTTGAGCGACCGTAGTCGCTGTAGTCGACCGAACACGGTCATTTGTCGAGGGAGATTATAATTTATTTATATCGGAGAAAAGACGTAATATATATATTATTATTTGTGACTGGGCGAAATGCTGATCACCAAACGACGACGGCGGCTTATTATATTTCGCAATAATTAGCCGTCTTTGTTTGCAAGTAAAAAACGAAAAACCCATAGAACGACGAATATAATGTAACGCCGCTCTCTTATAAACAAATAAAATAAAATGTTTTATTATTTTACCCCTTAAATACGACGGCGTATTGTTATTTTACTGAAATCACATCGACCGTTTTGTCAGCTACAAACACAGCAGTTACATTGCACGACCCATACCTCGTAATAAAACGATCGTTAAGGCGTCTTTATTTACCTATAACGATACACGCGTTATTAAAAACTATTCTATTCGCTAAATATTTCAGTAGTTGGACTTTTAAATAATCCAAAAGCCAGAGACAAAACATTATTTTTTTCCCGTGCACAACGCGTGGGTACTTTAGTTATTCACTGCAGTCTGCTAAAATGTTTGAAAAAAAAATACACGAAACGAAAACATTGTCATCATTTCGCAACAACAAACGATAATCTTCAAAAAACAATAGTGTTTTATGTCGTCGCGCCTGTACGGGTTAGATAATATTATAGACTCGCGACTTACGACTTTCGAATACACGTTTATAAGTTTATTGTTCGTAAAAGAAAATCGTTTTCAATGCTATGCACCGTGCGTTAGACGTCAATGCAGTTCGACATTTACCGTTTTTAAACCCAAGTGCA